GATGCAAATAAGACCAATCAGTTTACTGCGGTGATGGTAATAATGTTTATTACATCGCTCGCAGGCGCCCGTGGGCAAGATGAAGCGAATCCTGTGTTCTGATTAGCTACCCGAGCATGGTCAATGGTCAGCGAAGATGGTGGGTGGCCATTTTTTGCTCGCTGTGAATTTTCGATATCTTCAACCTAAATGTACATTTCTTCTAGTGTTTCAGGAATTATGTACATGCTGACAGCTTTTCGGGTCCCTATTGTAGTGTCTTTTTACGATTCATTTATGTTTTGAAAACGAAATGCCAATAATTAAGGAGTTTGATTCGCTACTCGTCACCAATCTTCAACGAATTCAAGCGAAGTTGGATGACATTGTTAAGCAAATGAACGATAGTTACACAGCTCTCCAACCAAAGCTCGATCTACTCGAAGCAAGAAATGCGAGTCTAGTAGCTGAAAATGCTACTCTGACTAACAGACTGCAATCTTGTGAAACCTGTTTAAACAATTTGGAACAATATTCCCGGTGGTATACCCGAGGTGAAAGATGAAAATACGGATGACATTTTGATGAAGGTTGGTTCTTTAATTGGATTAGAGTTAACGAGAAATGATATATCAGTGAGTCATCGATTACCAAAAGGATCTTACAGTGCTGCAGTAAGAGGAGGATGTAAAACAACGTAACCTTTATACAGCTTGCGGGCTGTCGCGGCGCTTTCGATACGCGCGTGCAACCAAATTAAAGGTCGCGCGCTGATGTTATGAGGCCGCACGTGCAACTAAACTAAAGTTCGCGCGCTGCTCTATTGCGTCCGGTTACAAAGGACCTCGAGCTTCCTCGAACACTAGCTCGAGTCCCTAATATTATAGTACAGTTTGTATGAAGGGAGACGAGAGATCACTTTTATAAAGGAAGAAAACACTTGCGAGATAAATCGACAAGAGACTTGGGTCTTGTTATATATTGGGACATAGTTAGTAACTATGATTGGGATAACAAAATTTACATCTCGGAAAACCTTACCCAAGCCAAAAAGGATCTCTTTAAGGAAAGTCTGAAAGTTAGGAAGGGTCTAAAGTACAAGTTCATCTGGACTTTTTATGGTCGTACTTATCTTCGGAAAGATTCAGAAAGTCCTGTTGTTGCTCTACAGAAGAAGTCTGACCTGGATATCCTGAAGCAAGTACCAC